GAACTTGTGCTCTCCACAAAATGAGCAAAGAAGAAGTAACGCCCGAATCCCTGCAAAGATAAATGAGAAAGGGGTGAAAGCAGTGCCTAGTAATGGCGTGGCAGTCAAGAAAGAGAAATTCATGAAAGGTGACCATTATCTCTGTGTGTATGTCTAAGGATAAAGCCACCTAGAGGTTTTGCACTATGTAAGCTTGCAAAGTAAGATTAATGGGACTTACACAATGCCAAAGCCTTGATCTCTGAACAGTGGAAAATGTAATCAAGGAGATTCCAAGGAGGAGGTTGGAAAATTAGATGAACAAGACAGGTGGGGGTTTTTTTGTATGCTAATTTTGGGTGTTTCACCTCCCCCGAAACCAGCATATGTGAAGAAAGAATGCAGCAACATAGAGTTAATTACCAGATTTAAAGTTACATTCAGAATTACTGGCAAATTTCACAAAACCTCGAGTCACATCTGCCACTCATTGGGCAATTATGAATAGAAGAAAATGAAGTGGTTTGAGGAGTTCACCAATGTCCTAAACTTTCTGCTTTCACTTGGTGATAAGTCTGAATCAAAATCAGCTTAGATACCATGGGGAAGTGTACATGTGGTCCTCAGAGAAAGGCATACACAATCTAGATAGCGAAGGTGATAAATAAAGAAGTGAGAAAATGTACTAAATGACATCCTGTGAACTCAGTGAATGGAAGGCAGGAGTTAGCTGGGTCATGGATTTTGCATGGACATTTTAAGAAATGCAGAAGGAAAGTGTCATTTGGGGGCCAGTAGGAAGAAAAAAAGAGTTGTGAAAGAGAAGTGATGGTTTGACAAACTGAGTGAACACAACAGCCAGTGGGCTCCCGAAAGATTCCTTTTGCTGGATGAATGTGGAGAAGATGCCATGTTATCACAATGTGTTAAATGGTACGATAGTGAATAGTTGTATTATCATTACACCTGCGTAAATTAGTGGTGGGGATATAAGCAGACCTTGCTAATAATTTTTTAGACCATGTACTGATGCCTGTCAGTGTAATATTTGATCACTTTCTGTATACAAATATATCAAGAGTAGTCAAACTTCCTAGTAGGTTTTATAGACTTGTGTTTCATCTTAGAAAATCATGCTTTGAATAATATACGTTGGTTTAGGTACCAGAGGGCATATGGAGGTTTGATGGCAAGAGGAAATGGTTGATGTAATTCAGCTGTAGATGAAACCCTACACAGGCAATAACTATCAAGTTCTGGAACAACTAATCATCAGGTAATTTCTTGACTGTGATTCAGTCTGTCGAATGAAAGGACTTAGGGAGATTGTTTCCCCAGAGAGATACCAATCACACACTAATCACAATATCCTGGGAAGCATCTAGCCAAGCAGAAATTAAATCTTCACCAGACTTTCTAATTACACAGTTCCAGTCCAGATGTTCATGTTGTTGAAATATCTTTATTTCTGAAGGAAAATAAAGACATGAAACACCACCGTCATGGGATGTGTACTGGCTGTGACAGTTGCTGGCATTAGGCAGGAGAGATGTTCTGTTCCACATTGCCTGGGATGTGGGTCCTGTTGTCTTAGGAGGAAAGTGGGGCAGAAGAAAGTTAGCTTTGTCTTATTTCCAAGTGTGCTCAATGCTCACCTAACCAGACAGCCTTAGAGTAAAGTTTTTAGAAGTCTTCAGGTAGCTTGATGAAAATCTGCCCTTTGCTGTCTGGCAGGATGCCTCCTCTGTGGGCAGTGGAAGAAGAACAGGCTGATAAGATAACAGGAAGAGACAGAAGCATTTATGGGAGGATTGGAGAAGAAAAGACAGTGTGCACTGGCTAACTTGGACCATCGCTAAACCCACTGGTATCTGTCTTATTAAATATACGTGGAGCCAGTGGTACAGGTGTAGATGAAGTGCCCGCGTGTTTTTTGTAAGCTCATTTGGCTAGTTTAGCATAGGTGAGAAGAGAAAAACTAGGTGATAGTGCTATGAATTAGAGCTTCAGAGTGTACCTTAGTTCTTGCTGCTTTTTAATGGAAGGAACTATCCAGGTATGGTGGAATCCTTCAGGTTTTAGAGATCATTAGTAGGATAGAAGTAATCCAGGTAAAGTTGATTTTGATGATTTCAAGAAGAAATGTCCCTTTTGAATGTGGTCAGTGAGAGCAGCAGTCCATAAGAAGACATGCTTGGCCTTGTGTTCAGATTGTTCAGGTTAACAGGTTTTCAATTTAGTTTCAATTTAGTTTTTCAGTTGGGCATTTATTGTTTCTTGGTTTTTCTCTTTTCTTAAACATAGTTTGGTCACTCTGTATAGGCAGGTCTCTCATACCTGGGGGCTTTATAGCCTTGCTGACAAAACCACAGCAAAATCCAATGTTGGATTGTTTAGTTGGAAATGTTTATTTAGGGGAATTCAATGAATGAGATGTAATTTTCTTAGCTGCATGATGGCCAGGTGTTGTGGTGACATAGGAAGGTGTGGAGGTGAGTAAGTCAGCACTGCTTGAAATTTCTGGGACCCACACAAGCAAGTGTCTTGAAACATGCACTCTGCTGCCACTTTCTAGCCTTTGAGAAACAATCTTTGAGTCTCTGAAGGGGCAAGGGCTGTCTGGGCAGAGTGATCTCTCACAGACCCAGAATTTTTAAGTTTTTCTTTTTTTCAAGGCTTTATGGAGAAGAGTTGATTTTCTTGTGGAAAGCAAGTGTTTGTGATGCTACATCACTGCATTATGATAATTTCATATGACAAGACTTCAGAGGGCTGTTGGTGGAATCAAGAAATAACGTCCTGATTTCACACTAGGCTGGATGTGTTCCTTTGATGTTTTTTCTATGTACATTATTTTATAAGTTTCTCTGAAGAATCAGAGGTTTGTTATCGTTGGTAAGGAGATTGGATTCAGTGGACTATGATCCATGATAGTATCCATACTATGAAAGTATGGATACTTTTTTATAAGATGCCTGGGTGGTCTTATTCATATGTTATGAGTATTTTTGCTTCAGGAGATTGTTTTCTTCCAAGATAGAATGACAGTGATCTTGATGTCTTTTGCCTTTCCTGTGAACAGGCATAGTCTGCCTGTTGGAAACATGAGGATATGTTAAGTTATCAGTCCACTGCCATTGTGTGGTCCTCAGGCATTGCTATACTTCATCTTTTCCTGTCACGTGTAGTTCTTTGAAGCTTGAAATGTGTGGGGCAAGGGAAAGGGCTTAATATGTGAGTATTTCAGTTTAGTGTCATGGCCTGTAATATATAGGAGGTGATATATATGACTGGATGATTGCCTTGTCCTGCCTGGATTCAAGATCTGCTAGTCCTCAGTAAAGATTTATATAGATTTTTTTTCACACACTTCCTTCTAGAAGAGCTTGTTTTCTGGGAGAGGAAAGAGGCATGTATTGAGCTTTTTTGACTCTTTGTGACCCTTCTTTGTGGATGTTGTACAAACTTTCTCCTGCTGTTAGTCCCAGGACCTTCTCCTGGACCCTATCCTGTGGCTCTTTTCTGTACTTCTTTTATTAAGTCTGACTGCAAACTCTGCCATTCATGGGATTTGCGGTGTTGCAACGTGCTGTGATGTTACTTCTTGAAAGTGCTGTGCAGGCGTATATCACGCAAGATACTTTATAAGATATTATAACTCATATTTTGGAATTTGAAAAAAACCTTTTTTGTCACTATGCCCATCACTTCTTTTTCAACATCTGTTCCAAGAGTTGACTTTACATGCTGACAAAGTAATAAGAAGTTTGTAAAATCAAGGAGCTGCAAGTTAAAAAAAAAAGTAAAGGAGAATTGAAAGTAACAGCAGTAATGGTAATTAATATAGGTCACGTAATAAAAACTCTTGTACTTTTAGATATTTTAAAATTGCCTACAAACTGTAGTCTATTTAAACAGAATAGATAAATCTCTCTGTGACTGAATTGTAGTATAATTGATTTACATCTCCAAATCAATGTTTAGCAAATTAGGCCTCTAACGTAATCTGGAACTTGATAGTGGTAACCTACTCCTGTTATTCATGATTGTGCTTACTTGATGAGTCCTGACTGTGTCCTAAGCAACAGAGACAGACATCCAATTTTCTATATCTAGCAGTTACATTACTTAGCCTTTATACTTTGCATAATGTAATTGCAGTAATGGATCCATTTAAAAAAAAAGGAAAACAGTTTGCTGTGAAGATATTTTATGTAACCCTTAAATACCGAATAAGAACTTCAGTGAGCAATTCAGTATGAGCTGTGTCAGCACGCTGCTGTAACACCTGGTACTGCCAGGGCGCAGGAGTGGCACCGGGCCAGGTCGTGGTATAACAAACACTGAGCCTTGGGAGGGTCATTCTGTCATTTGATCATCAGAGACTTGATCCTCCTTCTGTTGGGAAAAAAAAAAGACAGTCACTGAAGGTCAGTTCCTGTACAATAAAATTCATACACTCTAATATACTTCAGCAGGAACAGTAAATAACTGGATAATCAAGATACAAATACATAAATACCTGTGTGGGGTGATGAAACATCAAAGGGCTGTGATAACAAATAAATATGCGGCTTCAGTGATCACCCTCCGTCATACAACATTCCTCTTCAAGAAACTGATTATCTATTAATGCCATTCGCACTGCTCTCACAGCTCCGTTTTCCTTTTCGCCCCTGAGCTGCGTTGCAGGCAGTGATACCTCCCTTGGCATGACCTGAGACACATCTTTTCTGCCCTCTCAGTAGCCATCAGTACTCCATATTGCTTCAACATCCTTCACCTTCTACTTATGTGTGCTTTTCTGGTTCTTCTGTGTTTTTTTTTCTCCTCTGATTTTTTTTTCTTGTGATATCCAGACTCCTACAGGTGGGTTTAGAATATTGTTGCAGCTGATTCAATCATTTCATTTTGAAAAGCAGTTATCTTTAAGAAAATGTTTCAGTTCTATAAGCAGAGTACTAACACTTTTTTACAAAATCATTGTGGTGTTTTGTTTTTTTTTTTATTTTCTCCTGAAGCGGTGTGCGTATTTGATGGCAGAACCTACTTTGAAGGACAAAGAGAAACTGTGTATTCAAGCTCAGGGGACTGTGTTCTGTTTGAGTGCAAGGTAAGAATACTGTTGATGGAAAAAAAAATTCTTGCATGTTAGAAATATCAAAGACCCACTGAAAGAAACTGTTGAAATACAGACAGGTCTACCTTAGGAAGTGGCAACAGAAAAGGCATCTAAGGGGTCCTGTGTTTATTTTGTCTTACTGAGTTCCACATCAGATTTTGCAAATAAATTTACTTTGCATAGCTGCAAGCTTTGATTACACAGCTTGACAATCAAGCTGCATTCTTTCCTCCTTAGGTATCGTCTCCATCATCAGTAATAAAAAACCAGCAGACTACCTTATGTTTCCATTGGCACATGTGCAATGTTAGTGCTCAAAATTATGTGCTCAGGTACAAGAGATGCATGAACGCGATGGGGGCATAATTTGGAATTCAGGATAATTCTCAGAGGAAAGGCTAGATGAAAAAGAAGGAAAAGAGCTGGCACACCAGGTGTCCGGTATTTCTAGTGATGGAAATGGGGTAGGGTCATTGTTTTATTTGTAAACAGAACACGCCTGACGCTGAGTCAGTCCTGTCCTGCTGCATGAACAGAGTTGCTCTTCAGGGCACAAATGCACTTTAAGGGCAAAATATACCCCAGGTACGGCTGCAGTGGGTCCCGTGTTGCCTCTCTGGGGGAGGGATGGGGAGGAATTCCCTCCAGTTAGAGAGCTGCGTGCTGTGGCTTGGAGTTGAAAACCTGAGCGCACGTTTCTAGGGCAGAGAAAGAGAGGGGAGCAACTCCCCTGGCCGTGCTGCAGCTATCTATCAGACCAGTTTCTGGAAACCTCAAAACATTTTCAGACAGTTGTGGAAAAGTGTGTTTTACAAAGTAGAACTGGGGACCGTTGTCTTACTGCTGTTGATTTTAATCTTTGTGAGCTTAATTCCTGGAGTAGGTGCTTTGAAACCCTTTTGAGAAAGGAAAGGAGAAGCTGACCAGAAATAATTTTGGATTCAGTCGTATGCTTTTCAGGACTGTGAGCTCGTGTTTTCAACATGACACCTGAGACATAAATTCTATGATTACTCAATGGATATAATTAACAACTGTCAAAAGTTATGTGATGTTGCCTGGTGTTTCTTGCAGCTGGCAAGTGTGATATTATATGAACAAAACGCCTCTGTTGGCTGTGCTAGTCTGTATTTTGTTGATTATACTTGTTTGCTGGTGGGCTACCTGACTGTCCTGGTAGAAATACTAAGCAGCAACTTCGGCTGATTCAAATGCTGCTTTTTCAAGGACTGAAGTACGTACAGTTTCTGCTGAACAGCCTTGTGAATGATAATTCAGAGCAGAAAATCCACATGCTGTAAACTGTGTTGGTCAGTTCGGAAGTTGTATGTGGGCACTATTTTATTACTATTAGAGTTCTCATAAAACGATATAATTAATGACTCCAGCTCAAGAGAGCCTTAATAGGAATGGCACAAGTCCTGATTTCATGCTTAAAGGCTTATAATGATGTTATCAAGGCAATGTAGGGAATTTCTTTTTGTCTGCGTGTAATTCTAAACATCATTTTTTGTTTTGTTCGGCTGCTGCAGTTGTGCCTGCTGTGGGCATGTGCTTTTCTGTTTGAATATTATAAAACAGGTGAATGAAAAAGAGAGCCTTAATAGGAATGGCACAAGTCCTGATTTCATGCTTAAAGGCTTATAATGATGTTATCAAGGCAATGTAGGGAATTTCTTTTTGTCTGCGTGTAATTCTAAACATCATTTTTTGTTTTGTTCGGCTGCTGCAGTTGTGCCTGCTGTGGGCATGTGCTTTTCTGTTTGAATATTATAAAACAGGTGAATGAAAATTCTAAACATCATTTTTTGTTTTGTTCGGCTGCTGCAGTTGTGCAGATGAATGAAAAATTCTCTTCCAAATTGGAATTTGTAAAAGAATTAAATGCAATCCAGAGTACTCTGATATTATTTCTGTCAAAGGGGTTTTTTTCTTTATTTTGTGGGATTTCTGGGTTTCGCTTGTCCTGGTGTACAAGACATCCGTGGCTGGTTTGCTTTACTGTATTATCAGGTTAGGGTTGGTTTCTCTGTCAAGATTGCTTAAGGTAAACTTTGAGTGGTAATTTTGATATGAGCCATTGTGTTCATGTTTCATCTTTATATTTCATGCTTAAAGAGGATTGAAAATTAAATGCTAGATCCGTAAGAATAATACATGCAATGGCATATGCAGGATTTTAGGCACTTTTCTTGCTTGCAGAAATACAGGGTCCTGAGTTCAGCGAGCTCATATTTTAACCAGATTGCTGATTTTAAGGCAGATGCCTCTGAGGAACATGTTGTTGTTTGCCTTGTTTTCTGTCTTTGCCATATCATGACTAGAGCACTGCAAGACACATTAATTAGGGCCCGAGGGAGCCTAAAGGTGGTACATCTGCGGTAGCCGGATTGCTAAGGCAGGCATTTCATGTGGTCATACTGCAATGATTGCGTGTGACCTGCCCTAAGTGCCTGAAGATACTCAGATACCATCTTGGCATTGGACATGTCCAGGCACCTGATCCAAACCTAGCTGAGAAACCCTCTCTTTCCTAATAGGGAATCAGTGCCAGTTTCCTTCAGTGTTACTTCCACAGCGTTAAGATGAGAGATGTTCAAGTTTGATTTTACTTGCTGTATAAATAACAAGCTGCTTTAGAGTATTCATCATGAGGACCCTTGATTCTGGAATCTGCTGCCCCAGTTTTTGAGAAAAAATTGTTACTCTTCCAGGCATAATTTTAAGGGAAACTTCTGAGGCAAGTTGCTTGACAGCTAAGACAAGAGAAGAATGAGAGCTGTTGCCACACTTTTGCTTGCTTGAAAAGGTTTGAGTATGGGGGAGCTCCAGATGCTTTTATTGTGTTACGTTGTCCTTTCAAACGGTTTTCGAAGGTACCTGGAGTTTGGCATAGGCAGTTTTTGTTTGTACATTATAATGCTAAAACTCCACTACAGTTATAATTTATCTTTATTTCTTCTCTCACAATATTAATCATTTACCTCAATTTAACAGGGCCACAAAATGCAGCGTATTCCAAAAGACAGTTGTACAGCTTTGAACTGCCCAGAATGACAACAGATCCCTTTATCTCACAGTTGCTGCAAAATCTGTAAAGGTAAGGTAATAGCTGGATATATATAAGCTCAGTGTAATTTTCCATTCTTAGAGGTTATATAGACTTTTTTCTTATAATTTTGAATAGGACGCTCCTACGCATGATAATCACTATACATTTTGGGGAGCTGAATAGGTAACATTTGCATCATGACATCTGAAATTTGTTTGTAAAATGTCTAATAGTGTAAATTCTGTGAAACATTTAATGGCACTTGTTTGTGTTTTTCATTCTAGACAAAGGTGGGTGTAAAGTCAAAGAAATCATATACGTAATTAGTGATTTTCTACCCTTCACCTAATCCTGTGTCCAAACAAAATGAAATTGGAGAAATGTCTGTGTTGCCCAGCATCTTTCTGAGATGCTTTGAGATGTCTCTTTTAGAGAACTGTTCATACTATGCAGTTGTTTGAAGACTGGAGTAACTTGTTTACCTGTTTGGGGTTGTAGTCTGCATCTAGAAGCAGAAGCTTTGGGGTATATTTTTGCATGCTACGTACCTTTGTGTGTTACACCCAGACGGATCCTTACCAAAGGGGAGGGGTACATGAAGTGCTTTGTGTCTTGAGCCCACTCTTTTGATCTGGACTAATACTGGTATCTTCAAAGCTATGAGCAATTGCATCTTCAAGTGGCTACGTCTGTTTCTTCTATAGCTAAATAATGATAAATTGATACTGGGCATGAAAGAAGATGTTAGACTGTTGGGCTGATTTTAGGTATACTTCAGTGAAAAAAAGAGTGCGGCTATACTTGTTTCTGTGCTACTCGGCGCAAACATGAAGGGTATGATTAATGACATCAAGCAGAGACATAAGAAAGTAGAAGAAGAGAACTTGAGAAAAGATAGTTCTTGAAGTCTATCACAGTCAAAAAGGATTTTTTAATGATAATTTTCTATAAAATCTTCAGTGGCTTAGAGAAAAGAATTTTGTGTTTCATGTGCCTGGTATAGCTAGAAAATTTTAATATATGTCAGATGAGTGCTTTCTGAACATATTCAATCCAACCTGAACCATGCTAGCTTGGCCTCTCATGAGCTATGGAGCTTATTCTTTAAACAAGAAGCTGCTGTATGCTATTACTCAGCAGCATGTATTTTGTTTATTAATACAGCTGATAGGTAAGTGTTAAGAATCTTAAGAAAAACAAAAAATCAGTAAAAAAGCTGTCACCCTTTCTGGATAACATGTACATTCTTAGTTATTTAATACTGAAGTCTGGTACAGCGAATCCAGGCCAGGAAATAAAAAAATAAGACTATTGCTTTGTCATTAACTCAGGCTTCAATGAGGAAGACAACAAAAAGGCAAAGAGTAGATGCCGCCATGGCCAGAGGTTGCTATTGACACACGCAATTCTGCTGTCATCAATGAGTATTGAAGACCCTCTAATGCTAGTAAAAGTGTAGAGCTTTTTGCTTCTTAATGTCCTATGTTAGATGACAGCACTGTGGTAGCTATGGTGAATTATAATATTTAAGTATCATTACCTAGACGTATCTCTAGGTTACAGGGAGACAATCCACAGCAGGAAAGAGAGAAAGAAAAACATCTGCCTCTCATATCACAGTAAGACTGTGATGTTTGCATCACGACCATGTCACTGGGTCTCAGTACTAAAACATTCTGCCTTTATGGGCTCTTCTGTTTCTCTTGTCTTGTTATACTTGGTTTGTGTTGCTTCAGAATGTTCATGAGCTGCCCAGGTGCAAAACACCTCTCTGACCTGACCTTCAAGTAGACTCTGCCATTGTCCTGCTTGAAGTGCTCATTTAACTTAACTTCTGTGAAGTTAGAAGCTCTTTCATGCTCATTTAACTTAACTTCTGTGAAGTTAGGGTTAGAAGCTTTTTCACAGCAAAATATGAAGCAGAAGCCAGGTGGAGTGATGAAAATAATAATCTTTACTGCCATTAAATACTTGTTTGTTATTTTGTAAGAGGCCTGTGTTGCAGTGCGATTCCAGGTTGCATTCTGGAGCTGTTGCTGTTACACCGGTCCTGGTCCCCTGAGCCCGACCCACATTCCCCAGTTCTCCTGTGGGAGATTTTGAGACAAGAAAATAGTTATTGGAAAATACAAGCGAAGTACCGCTGCTTGATCAATTCTAATGCTTCAGTTAAAGAAGAAAACTTTAAACAAATGAAATTATTGAGAAAGCAACGAAGGAGACAAGCTCCATACCTTTGTAGACAGATGTGGAAATTGTGGAAGCTTTAAGTCAGTTACTACACCCAGCTTGAATTCAGCATAATAAAGGATGATTTAATGGTGTTCAGCAACATAGCAGCATTAGATTTCATGAGAGCAAATAGAAGGAATTTAAAAAAACCTACTGAGTTGAAAGGTTCAATCTAAATTTTCCAGCCTGGAAGAGAATTTCAGAATCTTAAAAATTTGTAATTAAGGTGCAATGGAAAACAGTCACACTCAGGAAAAATTGAAGGGAAAAAATAGGAAAATAGGAAATAGGGATGGCTACAAGGCTAACAAATTTCTCTGAAATGGCAAGGATGGTGGAATCAGGGAAGAGTATTCAGTCAGTGGAGCTTCAAAGGAAGAGGTAAGGGGAAGAGAAAAGCAAAACAAGTCAATGTTAATCAAAGACTTTTGGTTAAATGTGGAAGGATTTTATAAATACACCTGGGAACAAAAAGTGCTAGAGAAAAAAGTAATACCACTAGTAAATGAGCTACTGAGTGTCTAAGCTATTGAGCTCTTTTATAAATGTCCAAACAAAAAAAAAAGAAAATGAAGAAAAATATATAAAGTGTCCTGTAAAAGTACTTAACAATGACAAGGAGACAGTAGGGGGATTTAAGCAAGCCTCCTATCCAGCTGCCTTAGATCAATGCCATAACCTGAAATTGAATCGAAGACCTAGAGACAGTCTGTTCTTGTGGCCTTTACTACTCCTTTCATCTGTTTCATGCTTGGTACAATTTATTTTTCTGTATCTCATGGACAATAGAAAGGTATTCTTTGACCTAATTGAAAAAAAGATAGAACTGTCTTTGACAGGGGTGTTTTATAATCCCTGGATTCTTTTTAACCCTCAATCATATTTGTTTCTGTACAGGCCATGACTTTTGCACTGAAGGCCATAACTGTATGGAGCATTCTGTCTGCCGAAACCTAGATGACAGAGCTGTCTGTAGCTGCCGAGATGGCTTCCGAGCCCTTCGGGAGGACAATGCCTACTGTGAAGGTAATACCTTGTAAAGGTGCTTATCTCCGCTGTATAAATTACTGTGGGAAGAATGTATTGATTCATGAGTTGTCAAAGGGATAGGCCTATTAAATGCAATGAATTAGATATGCAGCATATTAATCAACTAAAATAGTTATCTCTCCATTAAGTTCTTTAAAAATATAAAAATTCTGATCAGCATCGAAGTTGCAAGTTAGTATGGCTGAGGTCTTGAATTAGAAACATGATTCCATAGGAAAGCTTTCCTTCCTTTTCATGGTATTCAGATATTCAGGCAACCTAAAAGTCGACCGTTTGAATAGCATATTAGTATAACATTTAGTTTCTCTTTTCACTGCTGCCTGTTCCCATTCTCTCTCCCCAGGAAGTAAGTAAATGCTACAGAGTAGATACTAGTATTAATTATACTGAGTAATGATTTATTATTTGAGCTGCTCTTTTGGTATCAGGGAGCAACAAGCTACTCAATCAGAAGAGAAGCCTCTATAATTTGTGTCTTTACAGTCTAGCGTAATCCTGTGAAAAAACCCCATCCCCACTCCAGCAGCGAGAGCCAAAGTCCTCTGCACAATCTCTTAGCTTTTGTGCTAACTGTTGCTCTTCCTCATGAAAACCCCGATTCTGCAAACACGTAATACTAGTGTACTGTCAGATCATTCTTACCATAAAGCTTAAGTGTTGGCAGCAGGATGGCCTTTGGCTAATAAGCAGTTCGGTTCAGATTTAGCCTACTAAATTGAAAGTTAAGCATGTGTGAGTAGAGTCTAAGGTACTCTGCAGTCCCACCTAATACCTGGATTGTTCTTTGGTGATGCACAATTAAATGGGATGAATCAAGGCCTTTTAAGACTGTTCCTTTGGCTGAACTCTGCAAAAGTTAATGCCTGCAGCTTACTTGAGTTAGTAGCTGCATTAACGTCAGTGGGAATGCTCATCTGTAGATTTAGATTTGAGAATTCATGACTGTTTTCGGGAAAGGAGCATATAATTAATTCAGCTTTGCATACCTCTCTGCTTAATGTTTACGGTAAGCCTTCTGATGGAAGCCTGTTTTGAGAAGTAGAACTAAAAATCATGCAGAAACAAATCCCTTGCCCCTCATCATGTCCCAGCAGGCATCTGACATCAGGACCTGCTATATAGCTTGTTCTGTGTTGCAGCATCAGCCACTTTTTATCCCATAGTCTCTGGAGATTACGCTGAGGCTTAGGCTGCAGATCTGCATTTCTGGGAACTCATCAGCCATTTCCTTTTTGAGGGGGTCACTGGAGCAATGGAGTTATGGTGAAATCAGGTGCTTTAAGAAGGTTTTTTCTGCGGCTCTATTGTTACTCTGCTGAATGAAAGCAGAAAAACAAGTTATGATCTCGTAGTGATCTCCACATCACTCAAATTAGAGTCTGTTACTATGTGTGGAACTTGCCAGGCATGTCAGAAGCAAAAAACAAGAGCAGCTTTTTGATCAGCATTGGTGGTGAAATGTTTAGATGAGGACACAGTAGATTATCCTATGTGTGACTGATGCATTTGTATTATAAGTGGATTTACCAGTTTGTGCAGTACCTGAATTCAGCATGATGATTTTTTGAGGAGATTTCTTGGCCCCATAGCTTCTGTATGGGCAAATGACATTGTTTCTGGGTGGTAATTATCAATCTGCTTAAGTACTTTCAAAAAACTTGCATAAGTGAATAGAAGGTTGGGACACTATTTATATAAAAATAATAATTGTATTACTGTGTTTGGATGCATTAAATTCTGTCTTAAAAATGTGTATGATTTAGGGCCTGATCCAGGAACACTTGCTCACATTGAAGATAGCGGGAGCAAGTCCCATTAGGAAGATGTGCCCACGTGAGCAAAGTTCCTGAGATTGGGGCCCTGCCAGACGAGGTTCTCCCAGCCAAGGGTGAAGCTAACTCAGCAGGCAAAACAGACTAGCTTTGCTGCTAGTTAGGTACTGTAGCTGCAGTGTAGGCACCACACTTGAACTATGCATGCTTGGTACACCAGTCCAGAACTGGCCTTGGCTGGCCATCCCTGACTGAGTGTGCAGGTCATATGCTGGAAGGAGGGGAAATAAGGTGACAGATTGAAACTTTAGGATTGTTTTTGCGGAAGAGGAGGGGCAGGGGACTGAAATACCCATGTTTCTTCAGCGTCGTGCTTTTAGTTTTGTATCCCTTTTTCCAGCCCCAATGTCTCTTTGAGCACTGGGTTTTTTATTTCTGGAAAGAGACTCTTACCGTAATATAAAACAATGTAATAGCAAGGGCACAATAGCAATAGTGTAACACCAAGTCTTTTCAGAGTCCTGTCCCTCATCTTGAAAGGCGGAAATGGTCCCAACCTCCCTTTCTCACTCAGCACATACCCTTTCCTCACTGTGCCATTATTGTGGCTTTAACTACGAGCAATGCCAAGTGTAGAAATGTCGGGTTAACACAAAGCCTTTCAGAGAAGGCTTTTTGTAATGGCTGGAGCCCACGGGTATGATAGCTGTTTCTATGTTCGTACTTCACAAACTTCAGATATGATGCAAAAATGGATGTCGTTGATTCTGTGTTAGAGCCAAACTTCACTAAATACAATCCTGATTTGTGCCTCAGCACTGTCAGAATTCAAATAATAAACAGAAGTAATGATGCTCCCATTGGCAGAACTTCTTAAGGTAGAAGAACAAAAATAAAAATATTCAAAGCTGGTTTCAGTGTGGGTCTGGAAAAGATGCATAAATTTCATCTGAATGATGGAAGAGTTTGGCTTCTGTCCTAGAAAGAACTGGCGCTTTTCCAAAGCTGTGTGATGTTTCTAGATACTGTTATGGTGGACACCTTTCTGTTTTATAATAATAATATTTGTTAATATTTATATCACATTTAGCTTTCCCTTGGAGGACTGTGTAAAGCAATACTTAAAGAGTTGGGATTTCTTCATTTACTTGCTGTAAGCCTTATTCCAAGTACTCTGAAATCTATTTCTGCCTGGTTATTATGGGACACCTTTCTGTTTTATAATAATAATATTTGTTAATATTTATATCACATTTAGCTTTCCCTTGGAGGACTGTGTAAAGCAATACTTAAAGAGTTGGGATTTCTTCATTTACTTGCTGTAAGCCTTATTCCAAGTACTCTGAAATCTATTTTCTGCCTCAGGTTATTATGCAGTTTGAGATACCTTGTGGGCAGGTTGGGTACGGATTGTGCTGTGCTGTCCAGGTATAGGTGCTTTTGAATATAGCATCCTTGGTGTATAGCCTACCTAACATCAAAGTTTTACAAAAACAGATGTTCTGACGAAGTGTAATTAGTTTTTCCCAAAGCAACACCTGCAGTGCTCTCAAAGTAATGATTGCACTCCGGGATATATTTCAAATAGGGTTCAATGCCCACTACCTTTGTGGTGGTGGAGTTATACTGAAGAAGTTTTTAAGGATAAAGTTTGTGACTCTTGGCTATCAAGATATTCTGATGCATCTAGAGGAGTGAAATATACCCATGTTTCAAACAAGATGGGTTTGCAAATAGTCTGCTGGTGGCAGCTTTAGGTGTTCTTCTCAGATCCTTGAACCTAAGCTGTTTTCATGCACTGTGTCATGCACTTTTGGCGGTCCTCAAAAGATGTGTCTGGGGAGGAGGTGTTACTTGTATCCTTTGGAGACTGCACTGGGAAGGATTGCTTGAAGTCCGATTTTCTGATTTAATAATAGTGCTCAACTATCTCTGTGCAAACTCTGATTTCACTTCAGAAATGTTGCCAAGGATTGCCGATTAAATAGGGAGGAGAGTAGGCTCAAGAAAGGAGACAGGAGAATGCAGTAATCTTTTGTAAGCACCAGAACTGAACATGACCTGAGAAAAACAGGTTATTTGCTTCTTTATAAAGAGGATTTTGCCTGATGCAGAGGCTGTTTTACATCATGTACTGATTTTGGCCGGGATGTAGTTAATTTTCTTTGTAGCTGCCTGTATGGTGCTGTGTTTTAGATTTGTGACTAGAACAGTGTTGATAACACAGGGATGTTTTAGCTATTGCTGAACAGTGCTTGCACAGTGTCAAGGCCGTCTCTGCTTCTCACTTCCCCCTCAGCCAGTAGGCTGGGGCTGGGCGACAGACTGGGAGGTTGACACAGCCAGGGCAGCTGAGCCCAACTGACCAAAGGGCTATCCCAGACCATATGACGTCGTGCTCAGCAGTAAAAATGGGGGTACTCTTTCTAAGGTGGCTGTTGCTCTAAGATTGTCTGGGCATCAGTCTGCTGGTGGGAGCTGGAGAGTGATTGCCTTTGAGTCACTTTTTTTCCCCCTTTTTCCCCTTCACTTATTAAACGGTCTTTATCTCAACCCACGAGTTTTTCTCACTTTTGCTCTTTTTATTCTCTCCCCCATCCTACTGGAGGGGGTAGCGAGCGAGCGGCTGGCGGGTGCTGAATTGCTGACCAGGGTCAGCCCTCCACACATCACAAATTTACCTTATGGGTATGTGGACCATAATGTTTATTTTCTGATATTTGCGAATTTAGTTGTACTAGTTGCACAGTACACAACCTAGCTAACTTATCTTAACAATTTGGGATCATTTAGTATTATTAAACAATTTTTTGTGAAAACATTTTCCATTTTTATTCTAATTTATCCTTTTTCCTCAGTAACTCTCCTAGTTTCTCTGCTGTTGCCATGTTTGTCCCAGTTTCAAGTGCAGCAGCTGAAATGAGACCAAAGACTGAGTGACTTTGTCTACATTTGAGAATTGCATCAGCTTGACTGATGATTGTCCCTTGAGGGGAGAAGGTCTTCAGTTTAGAAATCTATTTTTGAATTAGCTGGCTTGATTTGAGTCGTCGTCAGTGGAGGGAGGTAAGCAGTCTTAGAGGATGAATTGTCTCTTTCCAGAGTAGATGTCTGAAGCACGTCGGAAGCGCCACTTGGTTGGACCTCATCAGGTTTCCCTTAGCTCAGAGCTGTATGTTCTCATTCTGCTTGGAAAGATTTACT